CACGGGAGTCTGAAGGCTCTGAGGAGGCGGAGGGAGATTTCCAAACAGCCAGAGCGTGCAGCTTGCGGATCCTTTCGCTCTGTTTCCTGCTCTCAGGTTTCGCACCAGTTGTGCCCCCATGCGCTCCGGCGCGATGTGGAGGAGCTGCCACCGGGACCCCGGGACCTGTGAGCGGGGCCCGCCGGTCTGGAGTTGAGTCCCCTTCCCCACTTGCGCGCGCTCTCGTGCGCGCGCCCGCACACACACACTCACTCACACACTCACTCACACACACACACACACACACTCACACACACACACAAACACACCACCCCTCCCGATTGGCCCGGTAGCGCCTGGGGGGCGGGAGCAGGCTGAGGCGGTGCTTCCACCCATTGGTGAGCAAAGACAACACGTGATGCGGTGTGCGAGGCGCCCTCTGGGACTTGTAGTCTTCTTCCAGAGCGCGGCTCGAAGGGGGTGGGGCAAGGTGCTGTTGTGCTGCTGATTGACTCCTCCGGTGGTCCCACGGCCTCCGTGGGGAAGGGGGCAAACGTCCCGTTCCCATTCCGGGCCTACGCTCCCCCGGCGGGTAAGGGAGGCCAGGGCACGTCCCCCTTTGGCCAGGGGCCGAGCGGGCGCAGGTGGGCGGCCTCAGACGAGGGCCGGGACCCCGAGGGTGCGCATCGCTCACGTCCCTTCAGGGCAGGAGCCAGGAGTTGGCCTGGGGCAGGGCGATGTTTTCGGAAGTGTGTGCTCGCTTCTCGGCTAGGGAAGCAGAGCTATCCCGGTTTCCAGACGGAAACGGGGAGTTGGGTGCGGCGTCAGGACCGCCCCAAGGTCACAGCAGCCGCAGGTCAGCGGAGGGCCGAGTCGGAGGGCGCTCCCTGCCCGCCCAGCCCTGCCCCTCTGTCGAGGCGGCCATGCGACCTCGGGCCCCTGCACTCTGACTGCTGAGGCTTGGAGGGCAGTGGCTCTCCCTGCTTCTGCGGAGGGGCTTCAGGGGTGAGCGAAGAGAGTGGCCCTCTTGCATGCGGTGAGGTTTTCTGCGCCGGGGGCAGGAGGCCCAGCGAGCCTCGAGGCAGACCTCGGTCCTCGCCGGACGGTGCTCGTTGTCACGTGCAGGTGATCGCAGCCGCGCTAAGCGGAAGCTTGTTGGCCCCGTTGTGAGGGAGGTGCGGGAAGCTGTGCGGACACAAAGCTCCTACTCCCGCCCTGGGGTGTCGGAAAGGGCCTTGGGCTTTGAAAGAACCTGTGACCCGAGAGTTGGTAGGTGAGTAGGAGCTGGTGCGGGAGGGAAAGGACGGCAGCTGGAACCATCCGGAGGGGCCGTGGGGGCGAGGGCTCTGCTGTGACGCTGCACTTCCGAAGGCGAAGGCTGCAGCGCGTGGCTGGGCAGGGCGCAGCCGGCTGGCGCTGTGTGATCTTTGGCCTCATTTTCTTATGAGTCGAAGGACTAGGTTGCCTCTGAGGGTCCTTCTTTCAGCTCCATAACTTTATACAAATGTCGGATGCAGCTGGGAGCTGAGGTGTCACCTTTCAGGGCCCAGGTGAAGGGTATGGAGGTAGGCCATGAAGAGCACTAAAGAGGAAGAAGGAAGGACATCTGTGATCCTTGTGACTTATAATAAGAGAGTATGTCTATAGTCCTGGCACACAGCTCCTAAAAGCCAGAGAGGATCTTTTGCTAAAATCGTTGGTCTTTTGTCCTCAAGGAGCTCCAGAGTGAGAAAGATGACAGGAGTGTGTCAGCCACACCCGAGCTGATGTCAGTGAGGTGACCTTTAGGAAATCCCTAGGGATGGGGACTGGTTGCCATGGGAACCAACCATGTGCTAAGAAAGAAGGTTGAAGTTTCAGCCCTATCCTCTGACCTCCAGGGAAGGAAGAGGGCCTAGAGATTGACTTGATCATTAATGGCCTGTATGCCTACTTAAGGAAGCTTCCCTAAATCCCCGAGCGATGGGCTCTGAGAGGTTCGGGGAGCTTCTGGGGTGGTGAACATGCAGAGATGCCCGGGGCGTGGCATGTCCAGAAAGGGCTTGGAAGCTCCTCACCCCTTCCCAGGCACCTTCCCTCATGCATTTCTTCCATCTCGCCATTCCTGAGTCCTATCCTTTTATAGTAAATCTTTAATCTGGTAAGTGAAACGTTTTCCTGAGTTTTGTGAGTTGTTCTAGCATTTAATCAAACCTGAGGAGGCATCATTGGAACCTCCAATTCATAGCCGGTTGGCTTGGTCAGAAGCACAGGAATCTGAAGGGGTCGGGTGGGCAGGCTTGTGGAACTCACTCCCAAGTGGATAGTGTGAGAACTTAACTGAACTGTAGGACTCCCGGGTGGTGTTGCAGAGTTGTTTGGTGGGAAAACCCCACACATCTGGAATGTCTGTGAGTGTGTAGAGGAAAATGGAAGGTGGGGTTCACTTAAGTTGGCAAAAGCAGAGGGTTAATTGAGGTTAGTGGATGCCACTTCCCATTATGGTGGTACTTCATCTGCCATCTCCTTTTCCTTTATTATTATTATTTTTTAGAGAATTTTTTTCCCAATTGATTTGTGTGAGAGAGAAACATCAATTTGTTTCCACTTATTTATGCATTCATTGGTTGATTCTTGTATGTGCCCTGGCCAGGGACTGAACCCACAACCTTGGCATATTGGGACGACACTAACCAACTAAGCCACCCAGCCAGGGCTCCGTTTCCTTTCTACTGCATATTTACTAGATCGGGCTCTTGGAAGTACTTGGCACATGGTAGGTAGTCAACTGTGGAAGGAAATAGGAATGAAAGAGATAAGAAAGCACAGTGGGAGGGAGATATGTGAACCAGGCCTATGAGCGATCTACAGAGACATTGCCAGTGGTGAGATTCAGAGTCTTTGGAACGGCAGAAGGTTAAATCCAAAAGGGGCCTTGATGAAGATTTCAACTGGCAGGTAGATTGATCTTGGCCTCGTAGGAATGGCCATGTCGTTGAAGTTGGTCAGAAGGAAAGAGGGGGTTAAGCAAGGGCAGCTTGGGTGTTGGAGGAGATGCTGCAATAAGGAGACCTGTGTGAGGCTGTACCAGCTGCGTGGAAGGGAAGGTGTTCTAGAGAGGCAGCATGTGTGTGGCTGTGCAAACGCCCAGTGAAGTCAAGGTTAGAAGTCTTGTCTGCTCCGTCTGCAGGTTTTCTGTCACCTGGACTAGTCATTTAGCTCCTCAGAGTCTACCACCTCAGAGGCATCTTTCTCATTGTGGTAGATTGAGGGAGAATCTGAAGATAAGGCATCTAGCCTGCCACCTGTTTTCGTATTAAAGTTTTATTGGCACACAGCTACACTTTCACTTACATATTGTCTGGGGCTACTTTCACTACAGTAGCAGAGTTGAGTAGTTACAATAGAGACCGAATGGCCTGCAAAGTCTAAAATATTTACTATTTAGCTCATTACAGAAAAAAAATTGCCAGCCTCTGCTCTAGATGCTACAACAATTTGGAAAAAGTGTGTTTAGTCATTTAGCCCATTTACATTAATTGCTATAGCAGATACATTCAGCCTGAAGAATTTTATAACAGATTTAGTGAGGTATAATTCAGTTATTCTCCACTTATTTGAAGTGTACAATTACATGGTTTTTAGTATAGTCACAGAATTATGCAACCATCACCACAGTCAATTCTAGAACATTTTTATTATCTCAAAAAGAAACCCTGTGCCCTCTAGCTGTCACCCTCCCATTGTCTCCTCCAGCTGTAGGCAGCCACTAGTTTCTGTTTCTATAGGTCTCCCTATTTTGAACATTTTATATAAATGGAATGTGGTCTCTTTTGACTGGCTTTTTCCCCCCACTTAGAATGTTTTCAAGGTTTATCTAAGTTGAAGCATGTATTAGTACTCTGTTATTTTTCATTGCTGGACAATATTCCATCTTATTTATCCACTCATCTATCGATGAACATTTGAGTTGTTTCCATCTTTTGACTGTCTTGCATAATGTTGCTATAAACATTCTTGTACAAGTTTTTATATGGGCATATGTTTTCATCCCTCATATATCCAAAAGTATAATTTTTGGGTCAAACGGTAACCGTTTCACCTTTTGAGGAACTAACACACTGCTTTCCAAGGTGGCTGCACCATTTTACATTCCCACTAGCAGTGCATGCAAGTCCCAATTCTCCACATCCTCGCAGCCTTTTTTATTATAGCCATCCTGGTTTTGATTTGCATTTCCCTGTTGGTGAATGATGTTGAGCCTATTTTTATGTGCTTATTGGGCATTTGTATATTTTCTTTGGAGAAATATCTATTCAGATCCTTTGACTATTTTTTTAAAAATATATTTTATTGATTTTTTTACAGAGAGGAAGGGAGAGGGACAGAGAGTTAGAAACATCGATGAGAGAGAAACATCGACCAGCTGCCTCCTGCACACCTCCTACTGGGGATGTGCCCGCAACCAAGGTACATGCCCTTGACCGGAATCGAACCTGGGACCTTTCAATCCGCAGGCCGGTGCTCTATCCACTGAGCCAAATCGGTTTGGCTGACTATTTTTAATTGGGTTATTTGTCTTTTTATTGTTGAGTTGTAAGAGTTCTTTATATTGTTGGCCTGAAAAATTTTGATACCAGAAACAGTTGGTCAGAGCCCCCTCTCCTCCCATTGTGAATGGAGGCCTATCCCTAGAGAGAATTTCAGTTTTAAGGCTTAAACCCCGGCAGATGGCACTGTTTAAAAAGATTCTTGGTGCACAGCGGGAGTTGTAGTTCTGAGGTTTTGAGTCCTTACAAAGCAAAGGCCAGCGCGGTAATTGGGGCTGATAGAAAGATCATTTACTGGTCCATGAAGCCTAGGACAGGAGGAGCAGTGTAGGGGCAAGTGACACAGAAAATAGCCTGTTTTTTTATATGGAGTGAAACCACTTCACAGGAACTGGGACCCAATGGACATTAATTTCCAATTCAGCACTCTTCACAGGAGCATGTTTTCTTATTAACTTCTCTCTGCTTGTATAGCCTGTTTTCTTGTGGTCAGCTTTTTAAAGTCAACACTTCTTTACGTACCCATTTCTTTGTATCTACGTAGTCCACAAAATTGTCTCTTAAAAGCCACTGGGTGTGTTTTTGCCACAAAAACAGATGTTCTGTAAAGGGAGTGATTCGTACTCAAAAGAGACCCGAGTTCTGTGTGCTCCTGCAAGGTTAGGCTGTTTCTGCACCTTTAAAGGTGGTGCTCCTGCTGCTGTCCACTAGGCCTGTATTCATGAGACTCAGGGAGGCTCCTAGGCTTCTCGGGGCCTCGTGATGTCTTATGTGACCCAAGACCTTTGGGAGCCCAGGTGAAGAACCTTCATCTTCTGTCATTGTTGGGGAGCGTGACTCCCGCCAGTGAATTTTCCAGATCATATTTGCCTATGAGAACTCCTTACCTGACTCCCTCAGTCCTCCTTACTGTAACCTACCCCCTCTGGGCATCTGCTGGATAGCTACAGTCTTCTCCTGACCCTCTTTCTAGTTCCTCAGAACTCTGTGCTCTCTTGAGGCCCCAGACTTTTGTGTAAGCTGTTTCCTCTGCTGGAAACTCCTTCATACACACCCTCCAAAAATGAATCCATCAATGCAGATGGACTAACTCCTTCCTCTGCAGGCCCCAGATGGAGCTGACTGCTGGGAGCTCTTCCTTTAGCCCACAAGGGGACCGAGCTCCTCCAACGTGTGTCTCTGCTCCTTGACTTTGGCCATCATGCCCCTTTATTGTTTGGCTGGTTTAGTGTCTGTCTGCCCGCAGGAGAGTTAGTCCCTCTAGGGTGGGGGTGAACTTTGAGTCCTGTTGCCAGGACTTATCACACTTCCTAGAAAGGGATTCATACTCACCAAAGTTTATTTCAAAACTTCCAAGCCTGCTCCATTCAGGAGAACACCTGACTAAACACCGCACATGAGCCCAGCAGCCTTTGAGCTCCTTTTGCCCAGTTGTTATCTCTTGGTTTTCTCCTGTTTTGAGCAATTTTGGTTGCCCCTTCCTTGGCCCTGCATCCATCCCACTCCCTTCCAGTTTTTTCTTCCTCTTAACAGATAAAGAAGTGGGCCTGGCCAGGGCAGAGGAGCCAAGGCCTGGCTTGCAAAGCAGGAAAAAACAAACAAAAAAACAAGAGACTTCCCTCATGGGAAAGAAACCCTGCTGTCCTGGCTATCTTTGGATGCTTCAGCCTGTGCTGTCAAGAGTCCATTCCTTGGCCCCTGGGTCTCCTGGACCCATTTCCCAGGGCTGTGTGGGGCAGTGTGCTAGAATGTTCTCCGTTGACACTTCCTGCTCAGGGGAGGATCCCCACCCACACCCCAGTGATGACTCAGAGCCTTCAAAGCTCTTCCCACTTCCTGCTTGGCCTGGCTGTAGACATGCTGCCCAGCCCAGACATTGGAGAGCATCCTGGCTGTCATCTGGATGCCTTGATCCAGACCTCCAGACACACACAAGGAGCCTCCAGACGCTCGCACCTGCCATCTGAGTGTGACTGGCAGCCTGTACAGTAAGGAAATGTAAGCGCAGCAGGGTGGGGTAAGCCTCCGGTGTTGGTGTGAGCTGGGTGAGAGACTCAGTATTATAATTCAGATGAAGATGGTAAATTGTGCTATAATAATGTAGCATCATCTCGATTGTCAGATCTGATCACTTTAAAAAGAAAATTGGAACTCTATGAAGACATGAATTTTTGTTTCATTCACTGTTTTATCCAAAGTACCTAGAAGAGTACCTGATACATAGTTGGCACAAACATATTTTGTGGGAAACCAGTTTGGGTCTTATTTTAGTAAGTGCAACCGTTGGAATATAATTTCCATGTGTAAGCATTAATGATAGCAAGTGAGATTCATGAAAAAAAATACGTTGTGCAAAACATAAAAATATAATGTTTGTAGTAAGACCAGATACTCTCTTTCCATTGTTCACTACATAAACCAAGTTTTGTTTTCATAGTCTATTTGAATTAATAAAACTTCAACTGAGCTTGACCAGTGTGGCTTGGTGGTTGAGCGTCAATCTATGAACCAGGAGGTCATGCTTCAATTTCCGGTCAGGGCACATGCCTGGGTTGTGGGCTCCAACCCTAGCCTAGTAGGGGGCTGCCGGAGGTTCCTCTCTGAAATCAATAAAAATACATTTTTTACGAATTAAAAGAACTCAGGAAGCTTTAAAAACTAATGAATCTCCTTTTCCTTCGCATGCTACATCATCATTTTCAATAACTGACTTTAGTCAGACTCTGAAGGCTTTAGGTACCTGATGAATATGTGCAAGAACAAACACATGAATGAATGAATGAATGAATGATTGATTTTGTTTATCACAGATGGTAAGGACTGGGTTATGGTTTATAATTTCCAAAATGTGACCTGTTTGTTCTTTATTAATTGAAGGAATCTGCATAATTCCTGAGGCAGTACTCTTGGTTTTTAATCCCCCCAAGTGAAAGAGGAGAATGTGTTTATATTTTCATGTAAGATTTTATTCAAGTTATTTTCTGAAGAACAGGACACAGATTTTTCCTTCCTAAAGGAAATGTTTGGAGTTCCTGTTGAATACACAGGCAAGCTGGTTAATTAGGTTAATTAATTAGTATAGGGGATGGGAAATGCTCCTGGGATCTCTGCTTACTGCTTGTGCATCACAGGCATGCATACGCACATCACGTTCACCCTGGCTTTCCACTCCTGCCTTGAATGGGTCTCTGGCTTTATCACACTCAGGCACCATCTTTAGATTTGGGCACATTGTGCTGGCACCGGCCAGCACTGGTGGGGATGGTGTGGGAGGAACATGCTTAGAAGTTAAAGCAGAAGGTGCTGGGAAAGTCTTTCGGGTCATACGGTCCGTAGGCTCATGATACTGCATGATCAGACTATCCCTGGGCTGGAGGGATCTTAACCAGTTGTCCCGTTCCTCCCTTCCCCCTGGAGAGTGAACCACCAGCTTTAATCAGAAGCTGTTGATTATGCCACATATAGGGCAGACCTGGACTAGTGATATGACAATCAAGCCAATCAGTCAGGATTAGCAAGCTGGTCTTGTTGCTTCCTGAGCTGTCTCGACATGATTATAACTGCCTTTTTGAAAAATCTTTCTCACAGAAAGGAAGAGATTCTATCAGAATGTCACCATCACACAGGGTGAAGGTGAGTGTCTGAAATTTTGACTGCCTCTTTTCCACCCCCTGTGGATGGGTAGAAACATTTTTCATCTCCAGCCAGTTGGGTGGTTGAGATGACCCTTCACACTTTTGTCGGATATGTTTCTGTAAGCCCTCCACGGAGGGACTCGGGGTTGTCTTTGTCTGCACCAGTTCAAGTAGCTAAATATAGAATGGTCACTTGATTCCACTTAACAGTCCCTGAGAGGTTTTCATTTCATCTTTCAAGGCGGCTTTGAGATAAACCTGGACCACAGGAAGCTGAAAACTCCCCAAGCCAAGCTCTTTACTGTCCCCAGTGAGGCCCTGGCCATCGCAGTGGCCACTGAGTGGGACTCCCAGCAGGACACCATCAAGTTCTACACCATGCACCTGGTAACAAGTTCACACACCTATACTCCGATGCCTGCTGTTGGCTTTCTAGGCACCTGGCAAAACTTGGGAGACTCCTACCCAAATTGCAGTAAAGCCCTTGGGGATGCAATAAAGCCTGCAGCCTCACTTGCCCCCTCGGATATGCCAAACATTCCCCCTGTGGTCTGGCCACCTGTACTTCCTGCTCAGAGCTCTGTGCTGGCTGGCGGGCCGCTCCTCTGGGCTCAGGCAGATGTGCCCCACTAACTGCCCAGCTGTCTTACTTTCTGTCATGCAGCTGGGCTTTGTTCCGTCAGCAGCACAGTGTGTAGTTTGCACTGTGGGTAGCACAGACGGGCAGGACCATGTCTGTCTGACTAGTGTTGTGAAGTTACGTTGGCAGTCAGTATTGGTTGGGTTCAAGAACCCAAGGGGCAGGTGGGTGAGGTGAGGAACCCCCATGGAGCAGCCCCCATTCACACAGGGTGGCTCACGGAGGCACTAGAGCAGTGAGGAAGGGACAGCCAGACTGGGCTCAGGCCCTGCAGCTTCCAAACTAACCTTGGGCAAGTTACTGCCCCTTTTAGCCCCATTGTTCGCCACCTGGGAGAGGCGGGTTGATAACAGTACCCACTCATGGCGTAGTGGTCAGATGGGTGAGCTGACCCATGGAAAGGCCTGGGTGTGGTCCCTGGCACCTACAGAGAGAGCTTGCAGTCCACACTGGAGTTGGTGCTATCATCCTGCCCCCCGGGCTCGGCCTGCATACCAGCACGCTTCCTCAACACCTTCACAGCCTGCTGCGTGCTGGCTGCTCCTTTGACTGTCGATGACATGGGGTGATGGGGCTACAAGTTAATGGTAGAGTACCTAAGCAGCTGCTGTCGACAGGGCCAGTCTGGAAAATAATCCTGTTCTGGTTTGGCTGAGTTGTTCCCCTGCTTCCTGAGGTGTGACTGGAGCTAGCTGGTACGTTGTTCAGTCAGATTTGAATTCTAGTAATGCTTATGTGTCTTATTTACTGAATTTGACCTCTCTGGGACTCCATTTCCACATCTCTGAAATGGGTATAATGGTACCTATCAAAGGGTTCTGAGGATTCAAGTGAATGCAGCAGCGTCTGGTAGAAAAGAGTATGAGACCTTGGGAAGTACACTATCCTAGGGCCTCTGTGAATATTCTGTGAGTCCCATGAGCTATCACAGCGCTCTGCTGGCACGGACCTGGCTGTAGCAAGCTCTCACTAGATGTGCTGCAGCTGAGGCTTTGGGTCGAAGGCTTTGGCTTGGCACTGCTCCTTGCTGGGTGTCGCTGGCTGGTTCTGTGTGATGCTGTGGTTGAACACGGTGTCCTCGGGAATGCATGCTTTTGCCTGGGCCCAGTGGGTGGTGACAGGGCTCTCTGCCTTTTGATTCAGACCACATTGTGCAACACGTCTTTAGACAACCCAACGCAACGAAACAAGGACCAGCTGATCCGGGCAGCTGTGAAGTTTCTGGACACCGATACCATCTGGTAATTGATGTTTAGATGAGCGTTCCTCTTGGACCTAGTGAGTTCCTTGGGCTGTTGTGCTTCGTTTACCCAGTTATCAGTAGGAGAAGAGGCAGGCCCTTTTCCTTTACCTCACTGGGCAGGGAGAGCAAGCTAGCTGACATCAGTGCTCAGCTGCTCTGCAAACCCTGAGGAAGGGGAGCTCCTGGCTGCGGCAGTGTCGGAGCTTGGGCACAGCTCTTCCATAGCCCTTGGGGGAAGGAGGGGAGGGGTGGTGTATGCATCTCTTGTAGGCTCCAGGACCAGGGGTCACTTGCCAATCCCCAGCAGTGCCTCTGACCCTAGGCTTCTGCCTACCAGCACAATCTCACGTCGGCATCCTTACCATTCACTACTTGTCAGCCTGGACACAGGATGGCCAGATGTTGATATTCAGGAGCTAGCTTCCTCCACTTCTAAATTTTCCCATCCTGTCTATGTTCTTCATTTTTCATTTATCATATA